TATAAACCTTGAAATACTTGGTGTATTTTATTTTTTTGTTTTCTAATATGGGGTGAAGGTAACTCAAATCGAGGACAGGCAGCGTAGGACGTGTTTGGTGACCGGAAGTGGACAAAAATAATACCTCCACCTTCGAAATTATAAAACTTTCAATACTTGGTGTAATGTTTTTTACTGTGGGGTAAACGTAACCCTAATCGAGTGACCGCTGGACTGAATAAATTATTTTTTCGAAACAGTCCTAAAATAGGCGACTTAACTCTGACTCGAGTCGGATCATGAGCCGAACTGCATCCATTTTAAGCGGAGTGTCCGTTCTGCGGCTTCTTACGTAGCAGCTGCAGTATGTCCAGTCCAGCTGCGTCTCTGTGCCGTGTGTTTGGGCTGTTTCTGTTTGTTAAATGCTCTTTCCTTTCTCGTTAAACTGTGTTCCTCTCAGCGTGTGTCCCTCGACACAATAAGATGGAAATCGCGCTCGCAGCGTTTTCTCGCAAACGGACGCGTCAGCGCCATGATGGATGCCATCTGGTGACGAGTGGAGAGAATGAAATGACTGACCGTTAAGACCATGAAGCAAAAAGCAGAGGCTTTTTTTTTCGGTGTGTGATAATACTTGTCTTGGCAGTTCCCGGGAAAGCTGTCAAGACCTTTTGTGCAGGCGCCGGAAGAATGTTTCTTGTTTTTTTTTTTTTTTTTTCTGGTGTGGTTTCGCGTGTTTTACTGACGACCTACAGTGACTTACCTTCTATCACCCTGTCAAACATCGTTTTATACCATTAGTTTTCCTGCAGCTCAGTAGACTATTAAGTAACACGGTGGCTATACACTGTTATGATGTTATGATGTCATTATATGTAATTGTTTCACACTTATACATCAAATATGACCCGTTTTGACATTTGACAGTGATTAAGAAAAATAACCAAAGTGTGGTTCATTTCATCCTGAAATTTGATCACTTTTCTTAAAGTGATCCAAACCACACAAAATGAAAATATTTCAAATTGTTATTCCTTTGTACATGTACGAAAAGATCCTCGTACCCTGAGACTGTTGCGAATCAAATTCAACACGCCATAACTTCTGTGTTTGTTTTTTTTAATGGCACAGTGGCAATTGTGTCTTGAACGGCTTGTCGTTCCGACTAACACGCCATAACTTCTGTGTTTGTTTGTTTTTTTAATGGCACGGTGGCAATTGTGTCTTGAACGGCCTGTCGTTCCGACCACAATCGCGCAGTTTCTCGCAATTGGTCTTTAAAGGCTCTGGGGGAATCCTGAAACAGTAAAAAAGTCCAAGTGATGGACTGTATATGTGTATTTTTATGGGACGAGGGGCTTCGGGGGTCGTCTTCTCGGGGCAGTTTGAAACAGTCTCAAGAATGGTCTGTTTCAACCACAATTGCGCATATTCCCGCAGAAACACCTGCTGATCTTTGAAGGGTCATCGGGGGAATGTTTAAACATTGAATGAGTGGAACGGCGTTTGGACAATCATACATTTGAAACCGAAGTAACAAAACGTACCCTGACGCAGGCGCTCGATCCGCACATGTAAAAACAAGTACCTGCAATGTTTTGTCTGAAAAACTAATCAAGGTTTAATTTATTAATGTCAGACCTTTTATAATGCCTTTGGAAATATCTGCGGTTCATATTTTCAATGGAAGCAATAATTATGAGGATATTCTTGGCTGGAATTTACTTTGTGTGAATGGAAAATGAGAAATTATGCAAGAGCAGACCGCGTGACAGCCACTTTAAGATCCGGCCCTGAAGCTGATTCAACAGGTTGTGAAAGGATTGGTGGAAGCTTTTGGGAAATTTTCGGTTGGCAACACATGAACCATACATGTGTAACCAACCGTGGAAAAAAAATAAATGAAATCAAAAGAAAATTTCAAAAAATGCAGGTGACGCATGATCTGCATCGCCGGAAGTTGTTCGCGGTCAGCAGTCTGCAATTTTAGCTTGCGCCTAGAGCTGTTGCAATGTATCTTTTTTTTTATTATTATTATTCTCATTCAAAGTTTGTTTCATGTACCATTCAACAGAGGGACCCGGCAAAGAATGGCAATCTGGAGCCTTTCAAAACACTGCATGTACATATCGTTTCTGCAAAAGTGCGTCTGATTTCCCTTCACAAATTCTTTGCATCGATTTTATTTCTCTGTTTCGTTCGTGTTAGGGGCCGTTGCTCATCATGCCGCGCGTGTGTGTGCATGCATGCAGGTGCGGTTAACGGGTCGATCACGGGAGTTGGGTTGCTTGAACAGTAGATCTTCGGGACAAAAAAGGTTGAGCCCCCCCCCCATCCATTTAATTACTCCCTGAGCGTGCTTTCATAGTATTTAAGACATTTACTGTACTATGAAAATGCTTTTTTAAAAAAAATCATCCAAACACATTTAAAAACATACATGTAGAGCAGGCATGTCCAGCTCCGGGCTTGCCGGGCCCCCGTCCTGCCTGTTTTCCAGCTCTCCCGGCTGCAACATACCTGATTCAGATGATCAGCTCATCGGCCAGCCCTGAAGCAGCATTAGAACCATCCTGATGATTTGAATCGGGTGTGTTGCTCTTGGGGAAAGCTGGAAAACAGGCAGGACAGCGGCCCACGAGGACCGACTTTGGACACAACCTGGTGTAGAGAGAGCAAGCACAATGGCTAATACACAAATATTTGCACTCACAGTGTAACAGTGTAGCGATCCCTCTGTGTTTACAAAAAAAAACACATCCCGTTTTCCTCTTTCCAATTGACAGATCGATACCATCGATAGTGGAATTACACCCGAAACAAAAAGATTGAGTTATAACTGGTAAAAAAATAAAAAACGAAAACAGTGGGACCGTGAATTCGGAACCCGCGACCAAGTGGGAGTTACTGTTACCGTCGTTATATTTACACATACGCACTCACACTCGTGCTCACAGAATTAAACAATAAAGTACACGAGCAGAAGAGGAAACCCCCCCCCAAGATGTTATGATGTCAGCAAACTCAACATCTGCTTCCAGTCAGTAGGCTCATTTCATACTCTGGAGGAAGACGCCGCCCCATCAGAACTTGTGCAGCAGAATCCAACCTCCCACCTCCCGCACAGACCCCCCCCCCCCTCCTCCAGCACAGCTGACCTTCACAGCGCCGTCCCTTCGGCGCATCAGTCGACACCCACCTCGGACCTCCTCGCAGGAAAACAAACCCCCGCAGCAGAAACAACAAACAATCGCAGCATTTATGGACCTTTCAAACAGATGGCCACGTGTTTGCTCTCCCATAACCACGTGTTCATTTACAGAGCCAGCGTCGGACGGTCACGTGACCCTCACCTTGTGAGGTCAGAAGGCCGAACGCATTTGCCTGCTTTGCTTCATTTATGTCGGCGTGCAGAGTTTGACATTTGACAGCAATAAAAATACCTTACATGTTCACTCTGAAATTTGACGCAAATTCTTCCATATAGAATAAAATAAAAATCAATTTAATTTGTATACTGATCGAGTTTTAGTATTACTTTAATTAAAGTACCTGAGCTTAAGTTCGATACTAATTTTAGTACATGCTAGCTACATTAGCTGCTATGCTAGCTGGTCAATAACAAATGTAACTACTGTATAATAATCCAAAAACGATTGTTATTGAAAAAAATGAGAAACATGGTTGCATAGGTTTGAATGACACTTTATCGCAGCTAAAAAAACATTGAAAAGGTCTGAAAACTAGACAAGAGGACTTGAGATCTACCCACTGTTAGAAAGACGAGCTACTTTATTTCTGCTGAGTCTTTTTTTTTTTAAATTCTATAAATGGCTAAATAGGTTGTAGCAACAGAACCCTGTTGTTGTTTGTTTCGACGAGAGACACGTCTTACTACTATTCAAAATATGCCTCCGATCGAGCACAATGTTTAAACCAATGCAAGGGCGACATGAACAAAATGATACCAAAAAAGCGTTTTGTTTTCTTTTGTTTTTGTTTTTTCTTGATATGTAAATTGGTCAGCCTTTGGTCATCAAAAGCGAGGGACAAAAAAAAAACCCAACAAACAACAACACGGATTGCCCTCTGCTGGGACACGCTAGTTAGGATTAAATACATTTCTGATCGATGTGTGCAGGAGGGGGATGTGTGCGCAACATCGGGACATGAAATGACATAGGTAGTAATAGTGTGCGTGCGTGCGTGCGTGTGTGTGTGTGTGTGTGTGTGTGTGTTTTCTATCACAGATGTTCAAGCCTCTAAATAAATTCAATGAGAGCAGCTCAACATGGCACATTGTGCAGCTGCCGTTTTGTCACATGAGAGTTAAAAGCCTTTGAAGCAATGCCTGCCAACTTTGCGGCATCCAGTTAGGCAGATACCTCTGTACCGCATATAAAATCGCTTGAAGTATGGTAGCCTCTTTTTTGAACACATCCATTCTCACGCATGCGCAGAGGAGACCTGCAAGTGGCCTATTTGTGAACTGGTCGTCTTACTTGCTGCAATTCTCCATGAAGCCACATGGAGGTGCTAACGTCACGTATTGTGGTTTACCTCGAGCCACAGGACAGAAAATAGGCAGGCAATTTGACTTTTTAGACTAAAGGAGAGGCGAAAAAAAAGACTCATCATATGATTCCCCCTACTCGCTAATCAATGCTATATATAGTTACATATTTTATTTGTCGTATCATTTTTTACTGTGTTTGATGCAGCCCCTGTCACAGATACTCACGCACCAGCGAAACAATATTTAAAATACATTGCTAACATTTTTTTAACAATTAAATTAAGACTGTTACATTTTATTTCAATCCAAATCTAATCACAGATACGCAGGACATTTCAGAGACTGTACTTTTTTCTTTTTAAATATACCGTAGGAGTGAGTACTTTCGCCACCTCAAGTTGCCATGTGCTGCTGTTTATTTTGAAAGAAAGGCCGGAAACGTGGCGTCGCACGAATAATTTGACGGGAGAATCAAGCGAGGTTGAAGTCAAGCGAAGAGGAAGAGCTAACCGGTGCACGCACGCACGCGCGGGCAACTGCTCGCGCGCGCGCACGCAGACGAAACACAGCATTCATTTCCTCGACAGACTCAACACAATTTCCCATTTTTAAAAAATGGTAAACCTTCCATTTGGATAATGTTTTTATTTATTTATTTTTTTAATATTATCAAGTTGGATTATTTGTTATGAGGCGGCACACTCAAGCAGATGTGTTGGACGGACGCTTCCTTTATTTTTTGGAGGGGGGGGGGTGACGAGCGCGTGCGCGTACCCGTTTCCTAGCGATGACGACAGACGCGATTATTTTGGCACGTGTGAAGACAAATCCAACGTTCCACACCGAAGACAACACGGTGAGTTGAACATTTCATGTTGAATGTGTCAAGTTAACGTTGAAGTTTTCAGTCAGGTTGTTGGTAGAACTTCGGTTTACTCGTTCGGCAGAGGCGGATCTAAAATCCTTTGAAGATGGGGAAGGGAGGGGGGGGTAGGTCTGTCGGCATGGTGGCACGCTCAAATAACATGCACAATATAAAGAGAGAAAAAAAAAATCACAAGTGTGACTAAGATATCTTTTTGATGTGTGACATTCCTGCTGCGGGTGTTTTTACCCCTAATAATCCTGACACCTTTTGTTCTTAAAATTTCAACTTCGGTCAAGGTCGATTTTGATTGTTGATGTGGCACTAAAGGCTGATAAGGTGGACGTCATTGGTGACGTCATTACGCGCGGTGTGGGGGGGGCACTTTGTCAGAGAGAAGAGACTGAACAATGTCACGCCACATTGCCGACGAAAAATGGCATAAAAAGTATTCAGTTAGCAAAAGTTAGCACAGCGCTCACATTTTATGTTTCATTCGATATTTTCATGGGACAACACAAGAAATGACACTGTGCTGCAATGGAAAGTAGTCAGTGTACAGTTTGTGTAACTGTACATTTAGCGTCCTCTCAAATAACTCAAGACGCAGCCCTTAATGATTAAACTGATGACAATAAATAAACACCACTAGCTAATTGAATATAGCGTATTGCTGCTGGTTAGAGCAAATATTAATCCCCGCGCAAGATCGACACAGCCACTGGCGCACTTTCAATCACTTTATTGAACAAACGGTAACAAAATAACGTGAACCCGAGCCCATTCTTGGCCGAACTGCCAATGGCCCCAACTGACACCATCACTCAAGACATATCTCGGAGGTGTGGTTGACGTCATGATCGTGTTGCGATCGTGTCCAGCGAACCAATTTCGGAATTTTTGCTCAGCTTCAGAACGTCACAGTGGGTGAACTGTGGCTCAGCGCGTGAAGCACTCATGCAGCCGCCAGACCATGACACTCGATCATGTTACAATATGCACATGAAAAAAAATGAATGGGTTCAAACAAAAGGTCTCTTCGAAATTGTGCAACAGATGCAGATGTTAACATCTCCCCCCCAAAAAAAGCTGTACTGTTGATTGAGAGTCTCACATTCATCTTTGCCTTCAGTCGACAGAGGAAAAAAAAAGGAATTGGTTTCACTTGTCCAAGACTTTTGAAAGGGAGTATATTTGAAATTTTGTAGCATCTTCTGAATAAGAAAAACAAATATTGATCGTAAGTGTGTTTAAGTTCGAAAACCGTTGCGATTGTGAAAGCTTTCACGGACCGTTCAAGCAGAGAGCAACCAGCTGTGAACAGCGGAGCCTCTCGACTTTTTTGTTGCGTCCGCATTGTTCTGCATGATTCTGCGCGACTTAGTTTAGAAATGACAAATGCTCCAGCGGCCTCACTTTCAGCTTCCATTAATTACAGTTAATTGCCCAGTTGGGGCTCATTAAATTGCTCGGAGGACAGAGTGTTAATTAGACGATTGAAATCAAAAGTTTTTTCACACAAAGACAACCGAGCTGGGCTGCAAACCTTTTTTCCCCCGCTGTTGGGTTGCGTACATAAAAAGCCAAGGATGCGGAGCAGACTTGGACATTCCTCAGAAAAAGTAATTGCCCCCCCCCCCGCCCCCCCCACTTGTCAAATTACAAATCAACTGTGAGAAATGACAGTTTTGGGAAAGCGCAGTTCAATTTCACAGGCAACACCCGAGCACCACATTTGTTGAATCAGGAAATGACATCAATAGAATCTGTCAGACAAAATGACGAAGGCAACAAGATCTCAAGAAACAAACGCATCATGCCCAAGAGGAAATTAGAAAAACAGTTACCATGTTTTCAACACTAAAAGGCGCACTGGATTATGAGGCGCACTTTCAATGAATGGCCTATTTTGTCATTTTTTCATATATTGGACGCACCACATTATAAAACGCAATCTACAATGCATCCACTAGATGGAGCTACGCTCAAGGAAACGACCAACAGAACGATCGGATGTCAGTAAACTGTATTTAATAAAGCAGCGACACAGTTCACTTCACCAACAGCAAGTTAGAACATTGACTCGTTAACGTTGAACTCTCTTGCCGCTGCTCGATTTCCGTGTTCAATTGCGAAACCGATCGCCTTAAGTTTGGACTCAGCCATTTTGGGGTGGAAATATTACCGTCATGACCATACACAAGGCGCATCGGATTTTAAGGCGCGCTGTGAGCTTTTAAGACAATGGAAGGCTTTTAGGTGCGACTTTTTAGTGCGGAAAATACGGTATTGAAATATAAAATTGGACCGCAGAGCAGACAACTGGCCTTGATCATTTTTGTTTCTGGTATTTCAACAACGTCAATACGGGCGGAAGGTCAAGTCTTACTGAATTATAGTGTGACCGACTCTTTTCTTTTTTTTTTCCTCTCCTCACAACTGACAGACTGTCACGCGCGTCGCAGGCGGACGCTCGCGCTGCTCTCCGCGTGGACCCGCTCGCCTCCCTCAGTGCGGACTCCGAGTCTGTGATGGGAAAAAAGCTCCTGAGTGAAAGTGCTCGTCCTCCAGGTCAGCAACCCGCCCATGCGGATCCGGCCCACCTTGGCGCATCTCTCCCACCTCCTGATGGATGTCGCAAGACTCCATCGGCAGAGCCGCAGAAAATACTGCTTCTCCCTTCAGCCGGAGGCGTCGTCACATCCGATGGCAAGCCTCTAGATTGGGGCCTGAATAATCTCGCGAGCTTCCTGAAAATCAGCCCTTACACCGCTGCAACCATGTACCCCTTTCTTGACATGGCGTACAAGGCCGCGCTCATGGCCCGCCCGTCCCCATTCCTATACCAGCACTTAGCGTACCCGTCTTGGTGCCAGATGTCAGAAAGCGGCTCACCTGAAGACGGACTCTTTTATTTCCCCCGCTATGTTCCCGCGCATCTTTCCTCCCATTTGGAGCCCGACTTGCGAATGTACGCATCCAGCCCGGCCGCTCTGTCGCCTCGGCGCTCGTTACGGGGGCATCAGCAAACCTCGGCCTTCGGCGCCTCTCTGCGCCAGGATACTCGATGTTCCGCTTTTCCCTTTAACGAGTGCCATCTTGGCAAGAGTAGCGCAAACTCCTCCCACTCCACATCGACGAACGGCAGCTCTGCTCGCGATCCGGTCAACGAGTTAGTTCCTGCGTTTGCCTCAGTGCCGCTTCCGGTGTCAACAACAGCAGACTCCTGGGAGATTTCAAAGATGAGCACCGCGTTGTCAGCCCAACGTTGTGGGTTTTCTCCCTTCCCTGTTGGCAGCCGCGGTTCTGAGCCAGATCCCCCGAAACCAACCGGCAGCAGCCGAGAAAAGAGCGCCAGCCCAGATCGCCGTACGACCGAGAAGTCCCCGTCGCCCGCGAGGAGATCTGTCGATGGAAAAGTGCATCAACTGCCTTTGGATCTTTCTGCCAAGAAGATGAAAAGTTCGTCAAACGGCTTCCAGGCCAAATCGGACTTCATCGCCCAGTTGAGTTATGGGCCCCAGACTGGAGATGCGCAGTGCCTAAAAGAGGGCCTTTTTCCTCCTCCAACACGATCAGCAAAGAGTTCAGAACCTCCCAAAGTCGTGAACTCTTTGAATTTGGATCAGGGTGCAGTTGGCAGCCCATCCTCACAAAGATCTCCCGAATCCTTCTCTTCCACAAAGTTGGGCCGACAAGCGCCGCGCGTGACAGACAGTCATCAGGACGCTCGCACCTTCTCGGGAAAACAAATGTCGCCCAATTTCCGAGGTCAAGACAACCGACCAAATCTATCCAAGCCACGACAGCCCGACGTTGAACTGGGATCCACTTCCGGAGCGATCCGCACTGACTCTTTTATTCCACTTGGTTTAGGCTACAGCAATAGCTACCTTCTTCCATATTCGACGGCAGACGACGCGTCCTTGCAGCGCACGTCCGTCTCGGGCAAAGGAGCCGGCCAACGCTACCCCGTCCTCCTTGGCCACGGCAGCGGTCTGACTCGCACGCCTACAAAACAGGGTCTGCCACACAGAGACGATTCACCGGGTCCTTTGTCTCCTGCCGCCACCTTCGCAGACCTCAAACCACCGTCCAAAGGCCAAAACCGAAGCCAAGAAAGCCGACAAAAGCCGAGCCGGACCAGGAAACCCGATCCCGAGCGCGGCGGTAGCGGCAGCCAACGGCCTTCAAACCAACCCTTGAAGTCTTTTTGCAAACGGTTCAATAGTGTTAGCGAGAGCGTCGTTGGCGTCGACATGCCTTTTGAAGACGTCGATGAGACTGGAGGGCGACGGGGCGTCCGAGCCCCCGCGTCCCAGCCACATCCGCTCCGTCGCAGGTGTTCTTCACCTCCTCCCGCTCCCAGCAAGGAAATCTCAACGGAAGCTTCTCTTAGTCCATCTCCGGAACTGCCCGTCCAGCAGACGATGCATTGCGCCCGAACGTCTCCTGAACAGTTCTCCAAAAAGAAGCAAATCGGAGCCCCAAATGGTTGTGACAGCTCGGCCAGATGCGAACGTGGCGAAAGCGATGGACTTGATGAAAGCGATGACGAGGACCGGCTCGATCGGAGCCCGTCTTCGCACGTCGATGCAAGTCGAGAAAGTTCTTACGTCCGCTGCGGTACCGCACAATTCCTGAAGGGTGCGGCTGTTGGATGCAGCTCTCAATCGGATGGTCCAGTTTTCACCAGGAAGACGACAACAACATGCGGCGATACGCCTTCGCGGGTGCCGGCTGACGGAGTCAACGCCGACACCGAGTCCTGCGTCTCCAGCAACCAAAGGGAACAAAACTCGTCAGATGACGGCCGAAGTATTCATCTCAGGCATCCCGAGTACGGGTGCGCCGTCGGCGATCGCTTAGGTCAAGCTCCTTTGCCGGTAAATAATTCCAGGGCCATCTTTCGAGACGGCGAGAAGAACAGCCCGGACATCGTGGACGCGCAAGTTGGTGAGGGCAAGGATACTCGCATCAGCACCCCCACAGAATCTTTTTCTGGCTCTTTGGACAGTCAACCGAAATATGAGACGGAGGAATCTTGTGTTTCCCAATCCAGCTGCCCTCGTCAAGAGCAGTCGAAGGTATCAGCCATCTTTTTGAAAATCCAATTTATTTGACAGGCATTAAGTCCCACTGCCACTTGCAAAGTTGAAACTTTGAAACAAGCAAAATGATCAAGCCGATCTTTATGCTTCAGATCAAACGTGACTGTTTGATCAGGAAGTCCAGTTGACAGCTTCAAAAGGGAGTTTTGTGTTCGGTCTTTCGTTTTACAGAATAGAAATGCATCGTTGCTACCTTTCTATCATCTTCAGTGTGCATGAAGTCGAATGCAAGCCAACGCTTCGCTTTGGTGGTTTGAAAAGCGTAAGATGGACGGGATGGATTCATTTTGTGAACGCATTGTTCTGATCACTTTGATATACAGTCACACCTCGGTTTTCGACCAGAATCCGTTCCAGAAGGCTGTTCGAAAACCGATTTGTTCGAAAACCGAAACCACGCTCTTAAAAAAAAAAAAAAAAAATGTTTATTGAACACGTCTGCTCACAATGGAACGCTACACGAGGAAGCGTCACTTGCTCGTGTAAGGAAGGCGAGAGGAGTCAAGTGGCGCATTCAAGTGCGCTCAGTTTGGTCGAGAACCGGTTTTCGTTGTAATTTGAGGCATAAAAAACTCGAAATTTTTGGTCGAAAACCGATTTGGTCAAGAACGGAGACGTTCGAAAACCGAGGTTTGACCGTATTTCAAAAGCACTGCCCTGGCCACAGCCAACTTCACATCATCTGCAATTGGAGATCTTGCAGTTCCTCAGAAACGTACTTTGCGCGCTTTGGTCGTCCGCATGGACCCCGGCGGCTCTATTTCTGCTTCCGCGAGCTTCAGATGCTGCTGCCTTCTTCTCAGCTGAAGGAAAACCAGGACGACGAGACGGCGGCATCGCCGTGTGACGCAAGTGGAGGCGAAGGGGGATGGTTGGAGCTCTGCCAACAGAGCGAGGGGAGGGGCGGAGGCCCCGCTCCGGCACTCCGCGTCGACGCACAGAAAGGTAAGAGGAAGTCCTGAGAGTTGTGCAGAAGAATGTTCATTCTCACATGCGTGCAGGCTTTTCCCCTTTGATCTCACTCGACACGGCTGTCAAAACGGGCACACTTGGACTGTCAAATCATGTCTGCGGAATGCATAAAATAAAACTTGAATCAGAAATGCATATGCCACGCACACACGACATTTCTGCACTCATTCCTTCATTTCCAGCCCACGTTAATCTACAAACGGGACACCACACTATTCCCACTTCCTTTGCAAGTTCAGGAGCGCGGCCAAGGGTGCGCGCTCAGTTGTTCTGCGGTGGTTGGATGCATACTTTGACACACGTTCACTCACACTCTCACCACAGACGAGAGGCTGCAGGTAAAATTTGAACCCAACAGGATGTCAGGGTTCGTAAAGTGTGTTGATATTTCTTTTTTTCACGATGCAGATGCACAACCATCAAGCATTTGCGTCACACCGGAGCACCACCGTGCAAATGACCTTGTCGGCGAGGATGGGTGCTCATCAGAGAAGGAAGAAGGTCACAGAGGAGAAAGTCAAGAGGCTCCTCCTGTAACCGGCGTCGCTCGATGTCACTGCAACAAACCGTCCTCCATGATGGACCTCGGCGATTTGGATCCCGACATGGCGACAAACCACGAGCGCATTTTGGGCCTGGAGACATTTCACCAGAGCAGCGTCAGGTTGAAGCGAAGAAGAACGCAAGACAACGGGGCCGAGAACCCGTTCGACGACGGTATAAGCAGCATTGTGTTCTTTACAATGGCTGACTCAATTTCGAGTTTTTTGACTGAATAGTCTTCGCTTGGATTGATTCTTTTTTTTTCTCTCTTCATCAAGGTTTATCGTCATTTCCATTTGTTGCAATGGGGAAATGGGATTTTAATTTCCAGCATGGTCATGTACTAATGTTGTGTGTGATTATGATTCACCCGTTCACCTTCTTCCTTGCACAATAGATGTGACACCGGAGGACATGAGCAAGCAAAAAAGTTGCATCGAGCTGAATGGCCCATGCATCAAAAAGCCCCGTCTACCCGATGATGACGTGAAAGGTATTCAACTCCCCCCCCCACCCCTTTACACACAACATGCCCCAATTAATCTCCTTCAGCAAATAAACTCAACTCAAGTGTATTTCGAGAGCACCGCTAGATACAAAGTGCTGCACATGGACCAAAAATAATTCATACAACAAACAATAAAACTATGAATTAATGACAAAGACAGCAGAAAGCGCAAAAACAGTGAAACTAAAAAAATCAAGTCTCGTGCTGAGTCAAAAGCCAAAGAAGAAAAAGGAGTTTTAAAGTCAGTTTGAAAGATGGGCAGCCAGGGGGCTTGCCGAACGTTCATTCCAAAGCGAGGGAGCACCAACGGAAAAGGCTCGCTCTCCTCTGAGCCTCCGCTTAGTTCCCGGTACCTCTAGTTGTGTTTGGTCCGTAAACCTGAGGCGCCGGCCGGGCAGGTGCGTCGGTGGCGGACGAGTTCAGAGAGGTAAAGAAGGGGCGAGGCCATTTCAAGATTTGAAAACAAATCATAGGATCTTCAAAAGAACTCCAAAATGTTTTCAGGAGCCAGTGAAGGGAGGCCAGAGTTGGAGTTCTGTGCTCCCTCTTATGAGTACCAGCCAAAAAGGCGAGCAGCAGCATTATGGACCAACTGGAGACACTTCATGGAGGACTGGCTGACTCCAAAGTAACATGCATTACAGTGATCCAGCCGAGATTTGACGAAGGCATGACCGCCAGTTTCAAAGTGCTCACCAGAGAAAGGAAAGGCTTGACTTGAGCCAGCTGCCTCACCTCACCGTATGTTTTCTCGATAATAGCAGAAAGTAACCTCTTGTCAGGGTTCCTACGTGTGCGAAATCTCAAATCCATCTCACAAAATGTTGACATTCACAGGCAGACGAGTCGGAATATTTTCAGGAGACAAGTTCAATGTTCAAGGGAATTCACCCGTGACAGAGTTAATGCCCGAGGGCGGGAAATGCGTCCAGCCGATTAATAATTCATTCCTGGCAAAACAACCTCAGGCTGCATTTACTGCGTTTCTGCTTTCTTTTTTCCTGCCATCCGTCACCTGCTGGCTTGCACTCGGCATTCGTGTCTTGTGGGAGCTTGCAGGTTTTGTTCGTGAGGAAGCAGTGTCGCGTGCTGTGTGTGTGTGTCGTGGAGATTTTTCATTTTCAGTCGACAGCAAGTAACCAAATGAGATGAACAAAAAAAACGAGTGGATTTTACGGCTTACCTCATATTCCGCAAATGCAATATTAATCAGAATAGCTTTTTTTTTTAGACTAGTGGTGCTGCAAAGAACTGATCATTGTCAAGAATTTTTGTTGGCTTGACTTCCCCTTTAACCTTTTATGGAACAGGACCAACAGTGAAATACAAAATGAAAGCACTCGCAAGTAGCATGGAGCAGATGAACTCAACCGCGTTGAAAATGCACCAAACATGAATTGCTGTCACGGTAACTTGCGTCACTTACTAGGCCACGCCCATTGAAGGCACATGTCAACACACACATTTGACAGTGTGTGAGACTTTTGGTTTAGAGTGATCCCCCGCTGCAACACGGTTCATCTTTCACAGCTTCGCTTTTTCACACATTTTTTCCCGTATAGCTCTTTTTAAACTAATTATGTTTTCTGTGTTCTGCATCCTGATTGGCTGAGGGACTGCAGCCTCATATCACTGCACAACTTGCCAAATTTTCTCCATAACAAAACCCACAATGTTGACAAAACGTTCCGTACGGCATTCCTAAAAACATTTATATTTTTATTTTATTTTATTTAAATGCTTGGGCCTGAAAGAAGGTTTCATCTTTGGTTTCATTCAATGCAGCATTGTATATGTAATAATTGTCAATTGATCTATATATTTTTTTTTCCCATCAGTCCGCATGGCCTCGTCCCCGCCAGGCTCGCCTCGTGGCCCAAGACAGATGGACAGTTGTAACCTCTGGCAGTCCTCCCACGTCGCCGCTTCCTGCCTCCAGGAGAAGCGTCAGAAGTTGAAGGAGAACCGCAGGGCCTCGTCACTCCTCCCGCTCTCATCCGACGACGACGACCTCGGAAAGCCCTCGGGGAAACATCTGTGCAAGACCAAGCACACGAGTGAGGCAGCGGAGGAGGCAGACGAGGAAAGAGGAGATGGTGAGGGCGGGATTGTGCGGGTGAGTAGTGAAAGGGAAGGTTCACGTTCTTCAGAGTGGTGACATTCTTCTGAAAGAGCGTCTATTTGCTCTTTTTATGTGCAAGCAGCTTTCGGACAATCCTGTGAGCATGTGCCCTGTAGGGACAGCGCTGAAAGAATAATTTGACCTATCGTAATCATTTTTCATTTATGCAAACATACAGCATCATGTGATTCGCCATCAACGGGCTAACAAAAATCAGCAGCAGTGTTCGGGTCATCATTTAAAAAAACTGCGACTTGGAATTCATCACAGAAATGCTGTTGATACTTTTCTGCTCTGTGGGGACAACGGCGATGACCGCCTTTTAGTTCGGGACCTTCTCCGTGCCCGTTCTTGTTGCTCTGAAAGGCGAAATCAACCCAAAAATGTTTTTTGCGCCTCACACGGCATTCTGATGAATACTGTGTTTGTGGAATATGAGTTAAGCAGTAAAATCCACCCGTTTTTGTCCATGTCAGGGGACGGCAATTTTGCCACTTGCCGTCGACTGAAAATGACATCACAGTTGCTCAGGTAACACCCAATCATGGCATAAATCATTTTGGAATAGCATATAAAATGCAGGGTGTTCTGAACTGCTGCTATGCAGGTTTTTGGTGGGGCTATTGCGCCCCCTATCCTAGCCCCGGTGCAATCTCTTAACGTCTGGCTAAATGTGTTGCTGCATCATTTGTGTTCAAATGTTGTTGTGCAAAAAGCTTATTCCGAGCGTGATGATGATGCTCGGTTCGTTAGCACATTCGTGTATTCTGCGCATTAAGCGAGCAGATTTTGTGAGACGATGGACGGTGGTTGTAATCCTCCATGTTAAATTCGACAAACTTCAAGTGGGCATGGAAACAAATAGTTTGAATCGAGCCAACCCGCGACCCTTTTTGAAGAACTGTTTGCTATCTGCCAAACCGCACATGCCTCACTCGAGGAGGGCAGTCACGACATCATGCGTTTCTTTGCAGCACTCACTTTTTAAGGACACGTGGTTAGGAAAAAAAGGTCACCTTTAAGACAAATTTTTGCTCACAACACATCGCAAAAGAAACACAGTCGAGTGTCAGCATATAACTTGAAAAACCTGCAAGTTGGGGTGCTTGTAAGTCAAGTTACCACGATACAAAAGATCGTACAAGCAATTCCTTCTTTTTTCTGTTGTTTATCAGCGTGTGTGTTTTTGTGAATGTGTTCCATCGTCTGCTTGTGCTTTGTGACAGCAGCCGTAGAAGACGTTTCCTCTGGCAGAGTGAACACACACACACACACACACACACACACACACACACACACACACACACACACACACACACAAACGCACACACTTTTCTGTCACTCTACACTCAGTCATTGCTCGGTAGCAACACAGACACACAGACGCGCCCCTCCAGGGCAAAGCTTGTATCTTGTCTGCTGATGCGCGATGGCGAGCGGCTCCTGCACATGGGCGTCTTGCGCACATGCACACGCGCACACACACACACACACACACACACACACGCGCGCGCGCCACGCGGCTGCTAGGCAGCAGAAGCAGTTGCCGGTGTCGACAGCTCTGTGATGTGGATTTTCATCAACAGACAGAACATGTGGAATGTGACAAAACATTCACCACAAGTTTGGCTTAGCAAGGTCCGTTTAGCTTAACGCTAACAAACAAAATGCAAAACGCGTTGTGTTGCGGCGTTTTAACCATTCATGCCATGGATATTTGGACAATAGCCAACAGGAAAACTTTTTAATTTTTTTTTTTTTTAAAGAAATATGAATAATGGGCTTCGTGCAGCATTTCAGTAAATATCAAGGCTTTGGGGATGATTTCAGGATGATGAATAAACACTTAGATGGCAGGAGTGGCTTTGATCAGATCATGGTATAAGTGTGTGTGTGTGTGTGTGTGTGTGTGTGTGTGTGTGTGTGTGTGTGTGTGTGTGTGTGTGTGAGACAGTGCACTTCCTATGGGGCAAGGTGGCGTGCGAAAGCAGTGTGGTGGTGAGAACACGGATACAGTTCAATGTTCATGAAAAGTTCATGCAAAGTTCATGCATAGTTCATGCATCAGTGCAATGTTCTTCTTGTGATAACCTGTTATTTTGTAATCAAAGTGCCCTTTTTCTGTTTTTATGTTGTTAGTTTGAGCTATTAAAGCGTGCACTATCCAGATTTGACCATACATTAGAATTTATCGCGGCATGACGTTTCGGGAGGAAAAAAAAATTCCGCCTGTTGCTGAACCTAACCCTTAATTTATGAATATTACTATATTTATAAAACTACACAGGTATTACGTATTATATAATTGCGTTTATATTGTTATTGTGAAAACCTGATGTGCTAGAAAAAAAAACAAGGGTAGATGTGGAATCGGCGCAAAAATATATGTCTCGCATCAATAAATTTAAAAACTGCTCAAAAATTGTTAACCTGTGTCGTGTAATACGTAATTGGTTCTCATGATCTCTTTATTTTGGTGTCTTGCAGGTTTCCTCCGACTCATGCTCGCCACCTCCGCAGCCAAGCTTTGCCGTCGAACCTGCAGGAGAGACACCGTTGCTGCATGCCGCCCGGTCGGGACACGAAGTAACTAACGCTGTCATATGTGTATATTATCCATCACTTAAAAATCTACACATCAAGCGGGTGCGCAAAAATGAACCATATTTGATGGAAAATCGTAGAAACACTAGAATTTGAAATATCGACGATGCTCTCTCCTCATTGGCGGTTGGTCTTGCCTGTGACCAGGAGGCGGTGCTCGACTGTCTGCAGCGGAGGCTCTGCAACATCAACCACAGAGACAATGCTGGCTATTGCGCCCTGCATGAGGCCTGCACTCGAGGCTGGCTCACGATTGTGCGCCACCTGGTGGAGCGCGGGGCAGACGTCAACTGCAGCGCTCAGGACGGAACCAGGTAAAATGCATGAGATTCTGGCCACAAGTCAAGTCAAGTACTTTATACCAGTGGCGACAAAAGTGAGTGCATGCAAAAGTGAAAAAGTCCAAATTGGGCCCAATTAGCCATTTTGCCTCCTCGGTCTCATGTGACTCATCAGTATTACAAGATCTCAGGTGTGAATAGGCAGCAGATTTGTTAAAATGGTGTTATCGCTCCCACATTCAATGGAAGTCCACTGTTGTAACTCATGGCAAAAAAAAAACCCCAAAAAATGGATCTAAACAGATTGCTCTATGTAAAGGTGGCCTAGGTGATGAGAAGATTTCCAACACCTTGAAATTGAGCCGCAGCATTTGGGCCAAGAGCATGCAGCAGTTCAACAAGACAGGTTCCACTCGGAACAAGCCCCGTCACGCTTTGACCGAAAAATCGAGAGCATGTGCTGAGCGTCACATCCAGGGGCTGTAAAATACCAAGATGAGTCATGTTCAGCTCCGAGCAATTTGGGATCCAAAATGTGCATGTCCTGTATGGCTGTTCCATGACAAGCTGCGTCCTCTTGTGTCTACGGTCAGGCCGCTACATGACGCCGTTGAGAACAACCACGTGGAAGTGGTACGTTTCCTGCTGGCCTGCGGCGCCGACCCCACCCTGACCTCTTGCTCTGGAAGAGGACCAATAGACATGACCGGCAGTGTTGCCATGGAAACGTTCTTAGAGGGTAGGACGGAAATGTCAACGTGTTTGCTGTCTAAGTCCGGGTTCACATTTGTCAGGGTTGGTTTAGCTTAAACCAAACTCGTGCGATTGCTATGACACTTAGATTGTGAACGTCATCATCGGATTCCCATTGCGCTCTAAGCAAATGGAACGAGACCACTTGAAGAAAGGGGTCTGACAGAATAAGATCTTTGCATGCCAGAAAGGAGCTAAATTTAGCCGGCGGTGTTAAGGGGAGGAGAGTCTGCTTTTTCAAGGATCATGTTATAAAATGAATTTCAATGATATTAAAATGTTTTGGGATCATAGTTTGTGTACACTAGTCCATCGTTTATTGTGGGTGTTCAAGAAGCCCCACACTCCACAAGATGTGGTTCACCTAAGGACCTGTTCCAGTCATTTGATGTAGAATCCTCCACAGCAACGCCTGCGGATGTAGTGGACCTCCTTAGGTGGATGCGGAATCCTTCGCAGGAAAAATCTCACCTTATTACCAACTGTCTGAGCAGGAGAGGAGGAGGAGGAATGAGGTGAAGTGGCAGTAAAACAGCCCAAAGTCTAAATCTCAGCGGGTGGGGCAGGCCGAGAGAATAGTTGCATACTGGACATGTTTTAACCACAAAGTAGCTCATGAGCAAAAAAAAAAAATGTGGTCATAAATATATTGAATGTTGAAATGAGTTTCAAGAGTACCTCCAACGACCCATTTGGCTGTATTGATAAACATTGTAAAGTTCACTAAGTGTCAGGTAGGATCTTTTTGTCTCTTTCTGTATTCCCTTATTTAATTTTTTTTCCAAGACGCCTTTTTAGGAATGAATGTGACGTCACATCGGTGAGTGGGCCTTCCCTTGAACCCACCAGTTGCTACTGAGTGATACGCCAGATCATCATTGTTGTTGTCGAATACATCGACAAATATAGTGCTGAGGGGGCTGGACTCGTACCTCAAATCCGCGACATTAACCATGAACCACAAAATCCATTTGAAGTGCTAATTGTACTTTTGCTGAAAAACTCATCATACATAATCCAAGAATGTATCATTCCATTTTAACGTGATAACAAATGAATTGCACTTTTATGGTGCTTTATCGACACCGTATGTTGTCCAAAGTGCTTTGCAAAACCTCCAATTCACTTTTTTTTTAAACATTTCGAGGAAATGCACTAATGGCAACGTGCAAAATAATGACTTACTTGAACCACCAACAAACCGCACAAGCATCAGTCGGACGTGCAGGAGAGAACAAGAGAAAAGTGCCGCAGCGTGCGTGCGTCCGCCAGCCTGATTACAATTCACCGCCTGTGTTTGTTCTCTCCCTCCAGAGGGTTTTAATGAGGCTTGGCTGCTGAATCTCAGAGCAGCTTACCGCCGCGCGCGCACACACACACACACACACACACACACACACACACACACACACACACACACACCCCCCCCC